TGTCATGGAGTCACTCCTGCTCTTACTCCTATATTTAACAAACAACTAAGAGCGAGCACGGTTACAGAAGCAAATGGCATCAGTTAGAATCAACGAGAACACATTTTTCTAATCTCAGACAATTTGTTCCACACAAAACAAAGTACATTCTCCTACTATCAATTCCTGTCTTTCAATATACAGGTGATGGAGATTCATTATATGCAACATGACATCAAAGTTTGGGCACGAGAGTACATCTGGTTATAGATTACAAAGGTATAATCAATAACCCAATCAGATGTTATTTTATGTGTAGAAAAAGGCAAGGACTAAGGTCATTTATCTTTTAAGGAATATAGTGACTCAAATGAAAGATGTGGGGAGTCATGTACTGTACCTTGTTTTGTCTTCAAAACATCTGTGTGGAGAGCTGCAGGTGGTCACAGAGTCAGGGGTTTCATGAAATGAGCAGAAATGAGCAAACATGACTTCTTACATTTGTAACTTTGTCTCACAACAGTCTGAGCACTCTGTTCAAATGTCACTTGAAATAATTATTTTCTCTGTGTATTTCTATTTCCTTTTTTAGCAGAGTTTAATTTTTAAAATTTATTTTCTATTTTAGCATTTTTATTTCTGATTTAATTCAATCTTTTAATATGAGAAACAGTTACGTAGTTCAAAAGTAAAAGGTTATAAAAAGGCAAACTCAACAATTGGGTGGATTATATGGTATGTGAATTATATCTCAGTAAAGCTGTTATTTAGAAAAAGAAGGCTGGGCACAGTGTCTCATGCCTATAATCCAAGCACTTTGGGAGGCCGAAGCAGAAGGATTGCTTGAGGCCAGGAGTTTGAGATCAGCCTGGGCAACATAGTAAGATCCTGTCTCTACAAAAAATATAAGATACCAGCTGGGTGTGGTGGCACAGGCCTATAGTCCCTGCTGCTCAGAAGGCTGAGGCAGGAGGATTGCTTGAGCCCAGGCATTTGAGGTTGCAGTGAGCTATGATGATGCCACTGCACTCTAGCCCAGGCAACAGAGTGAGACCCTGGCTTCAAAAAAAGAAGAAAAGCCAAAGCCATGCATGCATATTTGCGTATAAAAATACGTAAAGGGAGGTTTTTAAAAAAGGCATATTCAAAGAACTCTCCCTTCCCTCTCTATTCCCTCCACCCAGTCTACTTTCCATATAAATCACCCTTGTTATTAGGTTCTAATTAATCCTTCCAGTGTTTCTTATGCAAAAACAAGCAAATACTTGTATAGTCTTTCTCCTATTCTTTCTTATGCAAAAGCTGGCAGATCATGTACATTATACTACGGAGATTACCTCGTGTAAGTACATAGACATCTCCAGGAATTGCTTTTTTTTTTTTTTTTAATACATTTGCAATTGCAAGTTCAGACTCCACAAAACATGTAATTCAGACTCCACAAAACATGTAA